TTTATATGTTTTAATAGTGACTCAATTAATTGTATCAAATAATTGCGTCAATTGCATCAAGGATCTACAAATTTCAGAAACATATATAGACCAACTCCAGTATTCCAGTCACTGTTATTACTGACCCTTGGGATGTGCCACTAGCATATCATCGCACTACCGTTTTCACCATCTGTGGAACTGGCGTCCTTGCTTGGATTTTGATTTAATCTTGATGATTCTTACTAGACTCACTTGGTCTTAAGAATTTTTGTCTGAATTGTCATCTCCTGTGGCTGATAATCTTTTGCCCTTTCAGTCCATTTAAGTTCATGTGAACACCACTTTAGGACTAGATCTTCAAGCTCCAGATTAGGATAGATCAGTTTAGGGTTAACCTCTTTGGGTTGTGTGACAGAATCTGCCATCACCAGTTTGGGTTAAGATTTTGTGGGCTTTTACCAAATTTAGACCAGAAGCCTTTCCTTGTGCAACCTTCCGTGCTTCGACCTGTTTTCAGCTCGCGATCATCGGGAAGACCAAAGGTTCCATCTTCATGCAGCCTAACTGAATTTGAATATGATAAGGATTATTGGGTACGACATATGCAGGATATCCAGTAAACCTATATATAAAGGTAAATTTGCTTTTTGCCTCCTGTGGGTATTGAACTAGAGATATGCATTTGGTGACCTGGAAGCACTACCCACAGTGCTTTAATTGAATTTTATTAAAAAACATTAAATTTATATTAAATATGGTTTTAAAAGATTTTAAAAATTTTTTAAAATAATTTTATATAATAAAAAACCCATCAACTTAATAACATTTATTAAAATTAATAATAAGTCTTTTATATAAGCTTAAAATTTTTATTTATTTTTCTATTTAATTTTTTAAAAATTTTTTCCATAGTCAAATTTTAATTTCTGTCCATATTTTATATATAAATATATATATATAATTTATAATATATTTTTTTAATTTTTTTTTTGACTTTAAATCAATATTTTTAAATAAATTTATTAATTAGATTATAAAATATAGATATTTAAAATTTTATCTTAATTAAATTATTATTTATTGAATTATAATAAAAAATATCAGGTCAATTATTTTTGAAACACACTGTATATAGTGTTTTGAATGAGTTAGCTTAACCCAAACTCAACCCAAATTTATGGTGTGAGTAAGATAGATTACTTATATAATAATGGATTGGATCAAAAATCAGGTCGAATTAATACTAGGCCAGAATCTGTTCAACTCATTTGACTCGACAATTCACATTGAATATAATATTTCACTGCAAAATTTGTTTTCTGACTGAATCAAAAATAAAGAAACCAAAGAATAAACCAATTTATTGAGATTTAGAAAATATCTATTAGATTTTCCGTGATTCTACTCGCCTAATCGTCATTTAAAGTATTTGATAAGCAACGTTTTATGTAAATTGCTACTCCATTGTTTCGCTTGACCAAAAAATAAACGCGAATCAGGTCTTGTAAAACTTGGTTAGAATAGGGCTATTCTTTTACATAATAAATGAGTTTGCACAGGCGACATGCCATTTAATGAAGAAAGTTTACAATGTCTTATGGGAATTCGTGATAAATTTGACATTTGAGAGACAGGTTATGATGACAATATTATCATCATGATTGTTATTAATTAATGGTTTCCGTCTTTAGAGTGTATATACCACTATTTTGATGATTTATATGACAGAATTTTATCCGAAAAAAAAAAAAGCGAACCAAGGCGCTATCATGCATTACTAGCAATGGAATACGTTTGATGACTATAAAAGCTTCCAAGAAAAATTAATTATTAATGCACCGACATCACTAATCAAGGATCCAAAAGAGGAAGTGCAGCATCCAGAACTAACAATAAGGTTTTCATCATTGACGGGGAGGATTCAGTGCCATTGATGGATGAAAGTAATTGCCTGACAATAACTTTAATAGATTCTGGTGCCAAATATAATCGCGATAGTGCGGAACTGTATGATGGTTCTAATATTCAAGATCATCAACTTGGAAAGTGATAATTGTGTTGTCAATAACGTTTACTTAAGTCGTGATGAGGATTTAATGCATGTTAAAGGATTGTAGAAATACAATCCGAGTTAATTCTCGATTTTATTTATTTAATAAGTATTAATATGAGAAGCGGTGGAGTCAATAGTTAGGAAAGTAGAAATTAATAACCTATATCAATTTAGGAAACCCTATTGAAGACTACAGTAATAAATGCGAGATATTTTGAGTTAATAAGATAATTAAATTATAAGTTGTTTATCAGTAATTAAAAATTAAAAAGTTAATTGCAGTATAGGATTATTAGTGTGCACAATAAATCTCATTTTTTCAGCTTGACAATGAAGGAGAAAAGATTAATTATATTTTTTATCTCGCCTAATGAAGAAACCATTGGTTCAAGTTCGAAATAATATTATCATAAATATTAGCAACTTTGAAAAGATTCTCCAATGTAAAGCAGACATATTTTGATATGTTTTGTCAAGTCTATTAAAAGAGCATTATGATATATCCGTTAATTTTGTTCGATGAATATTCTTGGATTTTGTTTAAAATATAAAATCCGTAGAATAAAATTAGACATTATTTAAGATTTGAATAAAGACGCTTTGGTCAGCACTATCATTACATATTACAATTAATTTAATTAATCTTTCTTTTACAGATCAATTCTCTTGATTATTAATCAAGTGGAAAAGTAAGATTGTACCTTCCTATAAAATTTGTCTATCGAACATCCTTTGAAGAATTGTGATAATCATTTCAACTATGGAACTGATTTCTCTTGTAACTCTAAGCAGTTAACGTTATTCCCAGCATTGCCTGCGCTAATGACTAAAATTATAAGATAAAGTTTTCCCTCTACATCCCTCGATGGCAATTTTAACAAGTTATATTAAACATTAAAATCGATCTGAGATTTTCATCCAAGTATTGCGATACATGCTGGTAATTCTGTGAACAAGACAGTGTTAAAATAAATTTCACATTTGTGTAACTAATGTTATGGGGAATCGGAGCGTAGATGCAACACAATAATATATCGCGTTACATAATTTAATGAGTCGATGAAAGAGAGCAAGATTGGAAAATTATGGGTGGAAAGATCTAAAATAGTGTAGATAATTAGGAGGCGAGATAACATGAAAACAATAAGCGATGTATAAGTTGGTACCATCATAAAAAGAGATTCTCACAATAATAGAAATAAAGTTTTTAAGTTCAAACCTTAAAGATAAATTTTCGTTGCATTGCTCGAATTTCCAATATACAATACTTGTAACTTTATTAGTGTTGCTAATGGAAAAACACAGAGTTATTAATTGTACTCAAAGGAGATTGATATTATTATCTAGGTAATCTACAATAATGCGAAACTCGTTTTTTTAAATTTATTTCCGAATTTTACTAATTAATTATCAACGTCATCTTAGGATAAATTTTAATAAAGTTTTAACCTGACTTATTATTTCTTCCACCATATTATTAAAGTCTAAAAATGCCTTTTTAACTCATTTCTTTTGAAGATTATTCTCGATAAGTTTATCTTGCGTAGAATTTTGTTCCTTATTTAGCGCAAAGAAAAATAGCTTATAAATCTCTTTTAACTATCTACTGCACTTTATTCATTAATTTATTAACTTAGATACTTGCTTGGTTATAACAAAAAAAGAACAGTTACCTTTAATAAATCGAAAAATACTGTATTCTAACTTCTAATTTTAATTCAATTTGTTAAGCTCACATTGAACTGCTCAAATTTTTTCTTAAATCTTTTGTTTCACGTGTGTGAGCTCCTCATGGCAATTTCGTAACGGGAATACTCCCCCAAATAGTTCCTTTTCTTTGATAATGAGAATCACAAACACATTACCTACAATTTGTAACTACTATTAAAACGAAAAGGAACCCATTATATTACCAGTATAAGAGAGGCTCAAAGCACATAACTGTATATGACGAGCCTAAATAATTAAAGTATTGTAAAAAATGAATACAGTACTGTAGATTGTAGCAAATACTAACTATATATAGTATAATAAATTTCTATAATCTGAATCCGTTAACAATGAAACACGCATAATGTTTGTGGGTGTAAGTAATTAATTTAGAAATATTCTCTATTTTGTTCCTATAAATTTGTCAAACTGCATCTCGGTACAAAAACCTCAATGGCATTTTCGGTTTAAATGTAGTACAATGACACTGTTTATAATTAACAATAGAATTATATTGTAACGGAATTTCATATAAATACAATAACAGTTTGTCATTTTATTTTCAAATTTTTGATAATGCATCACCCATTTTATCTTTACATTGCGATATTCAATTCCTTTTTCTTTTCGGTTTACGCGGATAACGATGATCCATTGCCAGACTTATTTGATCAGTTCATTAGCGTGATTGTTCCTCTAATGATCGTCTCATTATTCGATATAAATATTGATAATATAAACAACGTACACTGGTTCAAAGTCAAACTTTTTTTTGATGACATATTGTTTTTGTTGACTCTTTATATTCTACCTATTTTTGTCATAGCAAAAAGCAGGGAAACATGGAATACGCCAATGTGGGTCATAATACTTTATAGTATATCAGCATTCGTTGTCGTGATCGTTATAGTCCTGATAAGATTTATTAAATTGGATCAATATAATAGCAATCTACTTTTTGGGACAGTTCTCTGTGTTCATGTAGTTTCGGACTTCTGTTTTTTATTTTATTCTCGCGCCATTAATACAAACGAGTCAAAAATATTTGTTTATTTACATGCGGTTAGCGGAATTATAACTGGCTCCGGTATATTAGTCGATTGGTGTCTTTGTGGATTAGAAACAATATACAAAAAAAGATTTTTTTCTGAATTCAAACTATATTTAAATATATATGAAGTGCTTGCTATTTCTTTTCTCATGCTTTATATTCCTTTTATTCAAATGTTAAATATGGCATTACTTTCGGACAACAATTATTATTTGAAAAAGTTAATATTTGCTTCAAATTTAATCTACATTTCCAGGATCTTAAATTATTTTAAAGATGCTTATTTTTATTACGATAATATGATAGAACAAGGTTACAAATCCTTAATAGTGATTTTTATTCACGGCATTTGTAGTGATATTTGGTGGGGAGGACTTGTTGGGGACTCACAATTTCGAAGAATTTATTTACTTATTAAATATGGTGGAAAACAAGATAGCGAAAAAACAAAACTTAGAGTGATACATAATAGTCGAGTAGGAAAATTAATCAAATTTGAAGACGTTATTAAATCCGAGTATAATTTTAAAGATGAACCAAAAAAAAAAGTTTACGAGGAGGATTAGCGAACCTTCTCTATGATTGGTTGATTTTTTATAATTCTCAAATAAATAGAATATTTGTGTACGATGAGTAAAATTTTGAATAAAATGTGTACATTCATGAAGTCAACCCAAACACAAAAAAAGTAAAAAGTAAATCTTGTTATTGCGAATTGAAAGGCCTTGATAATGCCTGCAAGTGTGAATATTCATGATATTTCAACTTTTATGGATTAAGGTAAAATATAAACAAAGTTTTAAACTTTAATATATTCAATGTATTTGTGTCATATATTCGATTTAAAAATATATTTTTAATATAAAAAACTCTTTTATGTTTGTTTTCCTATAATCATTAATGCTTATTCATAAATAATTAACATTTGAGAAAAAACAATTATAATTTATAATTATAAAAAAAAATTCATTATAACCTTACAATTAATGTAGTATGTAAAAACATGTAATAAATAAAATATAATAAAATAGAAAATATAACAATTGAAATAATTATAAATTTATATAACTTGTCTCAAGTTTTCTTTCGAAAAAAATATCAAAAACTAACTTAAAAACTTATATATAAAAACTAGGTTATTTAAAACCTTGAAAAATAATTTAAAATAACAAATTTATTTTTATTTGATCTTAACAAAAAAAAACAAACATTGTATTTAATTTAATTCATATTTTTTACCTCAGTGAGTCTATTATCACTTTATAACTAGGTTTATCCTATACTGATATATAAGAGTCATGATGCTTGCAATATCAAAAGTACTTGTGAACATAATAATTATCTAACTTTCTTTATCCATTTGTTCATTAATAAGATAAGTTTATTAATTATAATATAAACACAATTGATTATAATCTTTTGCTGGATTTTTTATTTATTTTATTTCCATTTCTAGTTATATTAATTGAGACATATCCACATATCTAATATGTATTGTACAAATTTTTCATAAATTTCATAAACTTTTCTTCCTATATTAATACATAAATCGATATATTATGTCATATTATATGACTTTCATCAATTATCTCATTTTATTATATTTTATTGTCAATAATATAAAATTATTCCAAATAATTTTTTGGTTTCAAAATATAACACAATCATTGTAATTACAATACTTGTTAGCACAAAATATTAGAAGGCATAATATTTTTTAACCTTTTCTATATATAAGAGGTTATTTACTCCTCTTCAATAATTAAGGTTTTTAAGGCCATGGTACAATAATTTGGTTTGAGTTCCTCTTTCTTACATTACAAAATAAACTTAACAATTAACATTTACTTAAACAACTACTCAAACTTTTCAAGTTTCTTTATTAAAAGCTTAAATAACAACTACTCAAACTTTTCCTTAAGTTCCAATTGTAGAAGCTAAAGAATTATTTAAAGAATTATTCTTTTTTTATATACAGTACATGGTAATTTCATAGTAAATTATAATAACTATCCTAAATATTTCTGTGATAATTGCTATATCTAATAGAATTAAAAAATGATATACAGTATATCTCAGAAATTAAAGAAAAAAAATAAAATAACTATAGTGAAGATAATTTAGATCCCTTATATTTTTAAGATTTGTAATTATAACACCAGTTCATGTAAAAATACAAATCTTCTCTCATATATATAACTTTAACTAGTTGAAATTTGTAATCCAAATAATAAAAACTTTTTTAAATTAAAAAACTTTATAATTTCACAATAACAATATTATTAATTGAAACTATATCTTAACTATAACAAAACAAATAGCAAAATGTCTCAAGTTCAAATAACACTAAATAATTCAAAAAATATAGTTACAATGGCTAGCTTTATCCAATCAAATATAACAAAAAAAATAGATAGCAATTCTTATAAACAATGATGTTATATTAAAATAAATAAAAATCGATAAAGACAATATTTTAAACACTTATTAAATATTCGATACAAACAGTTTTAACAAAATTTTTATACTGTACAATATAAAGAATATTATATTAGCAACCAGTACAATATATATAATTGTTATATTTTATATTATGTGTTCAATTAGTTATTGCTACGTTTTGCTTTTCACTTGGAACAAATTGTTTTTGGGATTTTTAATGCCAGTCTACTATTTATATAAAAATAAAGTAGAAGTTAGACAAATTATTTATAAAATATTTATTATCTCGGCGTTAATTTTTAGGTTGCGAGTGATTTTCAAAGTCACGAAGTTTACTTGTACTAAGAAGTCTTTTCTCACTTAATGAATAATCTATTTATACATCCGATCTACCTTATTTTCATTAATATGTTTATCAGGTTAAAATCAGGTGAAATTTTTTTTCATGCATGTAAAATCTTGCACAATTTTCCTACATATAGTCGTTTGATGGATTAGTGTTTCAACATTTTCTGATCCATTCAATTACTCAAGGTGATAGATAGATCTTGTGTTTCTGGTCGCTCCCGTTGCTGATTCATATTGCATGGGTTTGGTTTCTATCTCGTCATCACAATAAACATCTTTTAAAGAAGGGGCGCCAGAAAATACTTTGTACATAACCATCCCAAGTAAATTAATGTTTGGAACACTTGAATGTTTCGTATTGTGTAAAACTTTAGATGCTACTGTCCAGTGTTCCAAATGAGTCGGGTCAATCCGATTTGAGTCGAATAATTTGCTTACGGGCTGTCGGATAGTTTGCTTACGTAACAATGCCGGATTAAGTCAGATGGGTCAAGTCATAACATTAAGACATAATGTATTTTCAGTCTAAATTCAAAAATAACGAAATCAATTATATATAAGATTGTCCTACTTTAAATTTTAAAGCATATCTATTTCCGTGATTCCACTCGCTCAATTATTACTTTAAGGGTTTTATGTCAATGTTTACTACTCCAATGTTTCGCTTAGTAAAAAACCATTCGCGGATCAAGCCTTGAAATAACTTGGTCATAATAGTGTAAATCAAAATTTTATTCTACTTAATAAACGAGTCTGCACAGGCGGCATACTATTCAGTGAAGAATGTTACAATTTCTTATGAAGATAGTGAATTCGATCTTCAAGAACATACAATTCTACAGTACCATCATGATACAAAGAAATTATATTTACGGTATTTTTAATTCTCTATTTTGATGAAAGTGTGAGATCTCTTTACTGAAGACAAAGGTGAACTAAGGTACGGTCACGAATCACCGACGAACTTCTCTAAAGAAGTGCCTTCTGGTTCGCCTAACGTTAGAAGATCAAAAATTTGAAAAATTTGACTTCGATATCAGAGATCCAGGGTATCGAATGTATGATCGATCCACTTTTATTTTGATTTTTTATGAACTAAGGCAAAGAATATAACTCTGATCAACAAGTCACATTTTATACGAATTTACTTGACAAATATCAATGAAAATATCTTTTCGTTAAAGTGAAGAATATAACTTAGATCAATTATCTTTGATATGTATTCACATAACAAATATCAATGAACATACTCTTACCCACTAAAAAGTAAATAGCTTAGATAAATTAAAAAATTTTGATAAGAAATCAAATAAAACAACTATATATGGCCTTATTGACAATATCATTGAAAACATGCCTACCGTCTGTTACCGTTGTTAAGTTATGAATATAACTTAGATCAATTTAAGCTCATTTGATACAATTTTATTCAACAATATGAAAAATATGCTTACGTTCTTAATCATTGTTAAATAAATAAATAATTCGGATCAATTTAAACATAAATATAGATGAATATTATTAAGGTCTAAAAACCTTTTTAACTCTCTTTTCTTTTTTAAGATTATTTTCAGTAAGTTTTATCTTGCGTAGAACTCTGCTCCCCGTTTAGCGCAAAGAAAAATAACCGAAGAACTTCTTTTAGCAATCTACAGTACTGCACTTTGTTCATTAATTTCCTAACTCATATATCTTGCTTGCTTATTAAAAAAGTCTCGTTAGCTTTAATAAATCGAAAACCATGTTAACTTCTGATTTTTAATTAGATTTGGCATGCTCACATTTGAACCCCTGCTCAAATTTTTTCTTAAATCTTTTATTTCACGTATGTAGTTCCTTTCTTTAATAATTCGGGTCACAACACGTTTAATGCGGTTTGTGATTACTACTAAAACAAAAAGGACCTAAGTAAATTACTGGTAGAAAAGAGATTCAAAGCCCACTATATGACAAGCCTCTGGAAGTAAAAATAATTGTAAAAAAGATGAATAGGCTGTAACTAATACTACTGTATACATTACGTATAATAAATTTCTATAATCGACAATCCGTATTCTGTGTCGTCAAAATAATGGAATACGCGTAGTGTTTGTGATTGAAATACAGTAGAAAATTTAGAAATATTCGCTATTTTGTTCCCATATATTTGTCAAGTTGCATCTCGGTATAACAAACTTCAATGGAATTTCCGGTTAAATGTAGTACTGTACAAGTGACACCGTTAATAATTAATAGTAGAATTATAAATGAAATATCTGTTTGTTATTAAATTTTCAAATTTTTGATAATGTATCACTCTTTTTATCTTTACATTACGATATTCAATTCCTTTTTCTTTTCGGTTTACGCGGATAATAATGATCTAATGCCTGACTTGTTCGATCAGTTCATCAGCGTGATTGTTCCTCTAATAATCGTCTCATTATTTGATATAAACATCGATAATATAAACAACGTACATTGGTTCAAAGTTAGACTTTTTTTTAATGACATATTTTTTTTGTTAAATTTTTATATTCTACCAATTTTTGTCATGGTAAAAAGCAGAGAAACACAAAATACACCGATGTGGGTTATAATCATCTATAGCATATCGGCATTCGTTGTCGTGTTCATTATAGCCCGGATAAGATTTATTAAAATTGGCTTAGATGGTATTTCACTTTATCAGACAATTATTGGTGTTCATGTAGTTTCGGACTTATGTTTTTTATTTTATTCTCGTGTAATTGATACAAACGAGTCAATAATATTTGTATATTTACATGCGGTTAGCGGAATTCTAACTGGTTTCGGTCTATTATGCGAGTATATGCTTATGGGATTAGAAGTAATATTCAAAAAAAGATTTTTTTTTCTAAAGTCAAACTATATTTAAATATGTATGAAGGACTTGCTGTTTCTATTCTTATGCTTTATATTCCTTTTATTCAGATGTTAAATATGGAATTACTTTCGGACAATCATTATTATCTGAAAAAGGTAATATTTGCTTCAAATTTAATCTATATTTCCAGGATCTTAAATTATTTAAAAGATGCTTATTTTTACTACGATAATATGATAGAGCAAGATTACAAATCTTTAATAGTGGTTTTATTAACGGCATTTGTTGCGATATTACTTGGGGAGGACTTGCTGGGAACTCACAATTTCGAAGATTTTATTTAATTATTAAATATGGTGGTAAAGAAACCAAACTTGTAGTGAAAAAAATCTTCGAATAGGAAGAATAATCAAAGTTAAAGACGAAGAATCCGAGGAAGAATTTGAAGCTTGGATTATGCCTGCAATTGCAAAGCTCCATGGGGCTTCAACTGTTATGGATTAAATATAAAATATGAACAAAATTTGCGGAAAACTTTAATAAAATTTGTTTACACTTTTTTTTTATTAAATAGATGGATATGCAGTATATTTAATTGCTAAAGGAGAGGCTTGTCTCACGAACTTTATTGAAGAGTAAATGTTATTACATATTAAATGTTTAATATTAAGTTGTGAAATATATGAAATATATCTATCACCTATTGAAGTAAATATATTTAAAAAAATATTGAGACAAGGAAATAAAAGAATCTATTTACTTGTATCCTGTTAAAAACAGAATATGAAAAAAGCGTCCCTATTTTGATAAAAGAAATATATGTATGTATGTATGGTCAGTTAATATTTATATAGAAAACAGTATTGGAACAAATCATGATATTAGACATCATATTAAGTTGGTCAACTGCCTTTACCTGGAATTGAACTTGATATCTTGTGCTACTAATCTAGGAGTACTGATTACTGTACTATAATCTATAGGTCATGGGGTTTTTAATATATAATTTAAATATAAAAATTTAATTCATAAATTATAATATATTATATTAAAAACTTCTATAGATACTTTAAATATGCAGATTAAAAAGTCAAAACTTAAAAATATTCAAATTCTAACTTATCTAATATTATTAATAAGAATAATATATTCAATATTTTAATAAAAAAGCAGAAAATATTAATTTATATATTTAATTAATTACAATTACAAAAGCACTGAAAAAGCTAAATATGAATCAAATAGAATTTTAAATTTCAGCTAATCTATTTTATTTTCTCTATAAATGTGATAATATTTGTAATTTATAAATTAAATTTATAATTCTTTCATTTGAGTTTTCATATTCATTTTTATAAATTTGTAATTTTACTATATTTAACTTTTTTAACTAATAAGGCCTTATTTAACATACTTTATTTGATTTACAGTTGTATTTATTTTTATAAAAATTATTATCTAAACTATTTTTAATACATGTTATACTATGTCAAAATATCTGCATATTAGCTTGTTGCTATTTTCTCACCTTTCAATATATGTCCAAACTAATACATCAAGTATTTATAAATATTTTTATTATATAAAAAATAAAAATGAATTTTATAATATTTTTTTTCTGGTCTAGCTAGTTGTCAATAAGTTTTACTACATTTTATTTGTTTCTTTTGTTCTTTCCAATTGTAATTTTTGCTGTAATGTATTTTTAAATTGGTCAATAACTTATTCTTTACTGAAAGTAATCATTTTTTAATAATGTAGTAGCCATATAGTAATAATATAATAGCAATATAGTAGTGATATAAAATTTTTTTAAAAAATAATAATATAGCAGTAGCAATTTAAATATAATTCTATTACTAAATTGTAATGTAATAGTAACAATATATAAACAAAGTAGCTACAATTGCAATAATTATTCTACAGCAATATAGTAATATAATAGTAATGTGAAAGCTATTTGAATAGTAGAAAAACAGTTATAATATAGTTTATATTTATATTTAGCAATATAAAAATGATTTAGTAACAATATAATAACAATTAAGGCTTCTAATAATACCACTTCAATATCACTTATATACCAGTTCTATACTTAAATTTACTATAGATTAGTACTATTTTGATATTAGTTTGATACTAGTTCAATACTTTTCAGAGCCCTAGTAACAATATAATAACAATACAGTAGCAATTTGATTGAAATTTGGTAGCAATAAATGCAGTAGTGTAGTAGTTAACATTACTATAACTGCTCTGTTACTATTATTTAACTATAGAATAACAATTAAGTAACAATTAAGTAGTGATGTTTATAAAAATTAAGCAATTTCAGCAATGTTTTTATTGAATTTTATAATTTTATTAAAATAAAAATATTTTATATTTTATTAAATAAAAATATTTTATATTTTATTAAATAAAAATTTAAATACTAGATAAAAATTTATTAATATTAAAAACAATGGTTATAAAAATTATATAATTATCAAAATTTTAAAAAAAAATTCAAAAAAATTTTGTTTAAATTCAATAAAATTTAATCATATATATAATTAATTATAAAAAACAAGTTTATTTAATATATAAAAATTATGCTCATTAATAAAAAAATTTTTAATACATGAAAGAATAGTCCCATGCGACAACAAGATTTAATAATAAAATGAAATATGTTTAACGACTATAAAAGTCTTCTCAAGAAAAGTTAATTGAGAATGTACTGATCACTAATCAAGGATCGAAAAGATGAAGTGCAGTAGCTGAGAAATAATAATAATGTTGTCATCATTGACGGGAGGGTTCAATGTCATTGACTGATGAAAGTTTTATTGTCTGGTAATAACTTTGGAAGATTCCGGTGGCAAAGATAATCTAACATTCGATAATTATGTTGACAATAACGTGGATTAAATTCATGACGACGATTTGATCCATGTCAAAGAAAGTAGAAATACAATTCAAGTTAATGCTCGATTTTATTTTATTTATTCAATAAGTATTAATTTAAGAGAAGTGATGGAGTCAATAATGAGAAAGATAAAAATAGCAGTCTATATCAATTTAGAAAAATCTATTAAAGACTACTGTAAGACAACTGTAATAAATGCGAAGGCATTTTTGAAATACAGTAATAAGTTAATCAAATTAGAAGTTATCTATTGGTAATTGAAAAGGTTAATTATAGTATAGGACAATTTTTATTCATTTTTTTTTAGCTATGACAATGGAGGAGAAAAAAAATTAAATTTTTTTATTGTCTGATGAAGAACCATTAGTTCAAGTCCAAAATAATATAATTTAAAGTTATCAGGTAGGTTATAGGTGATATTGGGTTAGCGTTGCTGACCCAATATTACCTAAAACACTACCTGATAACGATATTATCCAGGAGTATTCATTGATTTATGCTTTACAGACAGACAATCATATAGGAGTTTAAATTTTTAAAAATCAATATTATTTATAAAAAAATTTTTATATAATTATTTTATTAAATAGTTTATTTAAGCTAATTAAAAATGACATAATTTTTTTAAAAAATATATATATCTGTTTATAATTTTAGTTTATCTTTAACGAACATGCCAAAAGTTAATAAATCTTTATTAAATGAACCCGAAGATCGTATTTCATTTTTTATTGATCAAGCTACTGTTAAAAATACAAAACGTTCTACTACCAATTGGATCAAAAAATTTGCAGAACACTGTGAAAAATACAATTTAAATGGCACTATTGAAACTATTTCCGATGCTTCAAAACTTGAATCAAATTTGATTCATTTTTTTTCTTACACCAAACGTAATTATAAAGAAGAATATTCCGTAAATTTGATTTTATCAGCTTTGGCTGCACTTCAACGTTATATTACTGAAAAATCACCATTAACTGGAATTAATATTCGTGATAAAAAAAAATTTTCAACACTTAATACACTTCTTAATGAAAAAATCAAGTGGCTTAGTGCTAAAGGAAAAGGTGAGACAAAAGGATCAGAATCACTTACTATTAATGAGTGCCTTCATATTCTTAATCATAGCTGTACATCTCCAAATACTCCATGGGGTTTATTTAATTGGGTGTTTTTTTTTAATGCATTGTTTTTTGCATTACGTGATGGTGAACATTATTTTCTTCAAAAAACTCATTTTCAAAAGCGAAAAGATGGTGGTTATGATATTTTAATTTATAGATCCAAAACCAATCAACGTGGAATTGATAATCTTGGACAAGCAGATCGGATTTCTATTCCAAATTTAGATCATATTAATAATATATATAATCAGTATTTCGCAAAACAACCAGAAAATGCAGATCCACACTTTTATCTTCAAGCGATTGATGACAATTCTAAAGGTATTTTTTTAAAAAATTTTTTTTAATTTAATATTTTTATTAACGATATATATATTTAGATTTTTTAGCAAAGTCTATTTGGTATAAAACAAATCATGTTGGAGAAAAAAGACTTGGTACTCATTTACGTTATATCGTTGTGGCATCTGGAATTGATATATCTGATCGTAAGATAACAAATCAAAGTGGACGTAAAACAACAATTCAATTATTAAAGTCACTTGGTGCTAGTGATTATGAGTGTATGACGATTTCAAGACATAAATCTCAAATGGGTTTTCAACAATATGAACGACCTAAAAATGATATCCAAATTAATAAACTTGGAGATCTTTCAAAAAAAATTATGCCTAATGCTATTTGCGATAATTTTCAAGGTTTAAATTATTTATTTTTATTTAAAATTTTTTTAATAATTAATTTGCTAATTTATTTATTAATTTATTTAGATTCAATTAATCCGCTTCTTACTAAAAAGGCTAATATTATAACACCTGCACAAGTTCAAGATTCAACTGTTACGACATCAACTTTTAAAAGTGCAAAAAAAATATTACAAGGTATATTTATTATTTTATTTATACGTATATATTTTTTTTTAATATAAGAAAAATTTTTAATTAAAATTTATTAATTATTTAGAATCACAAATTAAATACAATACTATGAGCGAAACAAATTTAGATTCTCAAACTTTTTCTGAAGAATCTAATGAACCATCTCAAATGAATACATATAATAATTCCAATATTACTTATGTTATTCATCATCATCATTATTATAAATCATTGCCTCAATAATTTATATCGTATTGTATTAAATTGCGTTTATAATTATGTACAAATTTACAATAAACAAATAAATAAAAGCTGCAAATTATATGAATTCTAAAAAAAAATAATTTATTTGTCATATAATTTTAAATAAAAAACTTTTTCGTATGTGATTTTTAAACCTTCTAATTTTATTTGCATTATTATATGATTTTTAAGATACTAAGATCTACTAATATACCGTGATATAGCATATATACAGTAGCATAATCAATAGTAACTACCGGATAATTATTAATATTGGCAATTTTGAAAAGATCCTCCAAAGTAAAATAGGTATATTTTGTTATATATTGTTAAGTCTAAATTGAGGATATTATTAAAAATATCCGTTGATATTGTTCGATAAATATTCTTGGTGATCTGTAGAATAACATTAGATATTATCTAAGACTTAATAAAACACTTTAGTCAGCACTACCATTACATATTTGATTTCCAAATTCATTTTTATAATCGTTTCTTTTATAGATCGAATTATCTTGATAATTAATCAAGTGGAAAGTAAGGCTGTACCTTCCAATAAAATTTATCTATCGAACATCTATTGAAGAATCTATATAATCATTTCAACCCATGGAACTAGTTTCTCTTAACTCTAAGCAGTTAACCGTTATTCCCAGTATTGGCTGCGCCGATAGCTGAAACTATAGAAGACAGAGTTCACCCTCTACATCCTTCGATGGCAATTGTGACAAGTTAAATTTAACATTGAAAATCAGTGGCAATTCCACAATGCAATTGCCGCATAAGAGAAACTCCAAAGTGACCTGAAATTTTACACAAGTATTCCGATACAGGCTGATATTTTCTATAAATAATTATTTGAAAGTGTTAAAATGAATGTCATATCTATTTAAAAAGTATTGTTATTGGTTATTTTCTTTCCCGTACGTAACCGTGAGCTAAAAAAGATAATACTGTATCGGCGATACTCGGCTGGTGTGACGAGTTCAATATAAAAAATGCAATGTTGTCTATATATAAACCTATATTAATTTTACACTAATGAGCTATAATTAATTATACTTTAATTCTTCTATGTACGAGTATATGTCAGCAACGCAATAGTGTATCGCGTTACGTGATTTAATGAGTCGATGAATAAAATCAAAGTTTGAAAATTATGGATGGAAAGATCTAAAATAGTGTAGATAATTAGGAGGCGAAAAAACATAAAAACAATAAGAGATGTATAGGTTGGTACCATCATAAAAAGAGAGCTGGTTGCATTCTCACCATCATAGAAATAAAGTTAAGTAAGTTCAAACCTTAAATAATAAATTTCATTGCGTTTCCCAAGTTTCCAATATACTTGTAACTTTATTAGTGTGACTGATGGAGAAACCGGAACTTGTTATTCCTTAGCAGAAAAGTAAGTATTTCCGGGAAAAATTTAGCAGAGAGAAAGTTAGCCGAATCTGAGCCGATGATCTTCAGGTTGATGAATTTGGGTTAATAATCATGGTAATCTACAATAATGCGAAACTCGTTTTTTAATTTTATTCTCGCTCGGATCTCAATGTGCCCACAACGATGAAGTAATTATGGGAATGTGCATGCCGCTTGTATCCAAAGAACGTCTGTATAATATGTCTTAACTGC